TAGTTCCTGTTCCTGGCATAGCTGTAGTCAGATGGCTTCGTGCTAGTCTGCTTACGCCACGTTGTTCTTGCCCCACTCCTCCTCAGAGTAGCACTCCCCTGAAGGGCCGTGAGGCCAGCTATGCTTTGGACAGATTTTCTGCCAGTTTTTGGCTAGGAACACCAAATGTATTTCTTGGAAAATCTAGGAAGGCAGAGGGTAGAATACCAAGTGGCCTTCCTTGCTTTCTGTGGTTCCTTCCATGCTGTGTTGGCCTTCTGAAGTTGCAAGGGAAGGGGCGCCTGGGTGGCTCAGTTGGTTGAGTGTCCAACTTCGGCTCAGGTCATAAGCTCACAGTTTGTGGGATCGGGCCCTCCATCGGGCTCTGTGCTGATAGCTCAGAGCCTGGAGCCTGCTTCAGATTCTCCTGGAGCCTGCTTCAGATTCTGTGTCTCCCTCTCTCTCTGCCCCTCCCCTGCTCTGGCTCTGGCTCTGGCTCTCTCTCAATCAAGAATAAATACACAATAAAAAATAGTATTAAAGATGCAAGAGGAAATTTAAGTCCCATGTCCCATTTTTTTTTAACGAAACAGCCTCCCATTTTTATTAAATAAAACTGCAGTTTCCAAATCACTTTTCCAACTTATTTATTTATTTATTTATTTATTTATGAGAATGCATTCTTTCCTTTGCGTTATAAATGAGGAATGTAAGGGCCTTGCTGTTCCACTTTACTGTGCAGCTAACATTTGAGTCCATGCCTGTTTAATTAATTATTATTATTGGTTCTTATGGTTTTAATCCACTAAGTTTTGGGGATGGCTTTTTTAAATATAGTTTTTAAATTTTAGTTACAGGTTAACATACAGTGTTGGATCAGTTTCAGGTGTACAGTAGAGTGATTTAATATTTACATATGTCCCATTCTTAGATAGAAAAACTGAGACCCCTTGGGGTGCCAGGGTGGCTCAGTCAGTTGAACATCCAACTCTTGATTTTGGCTCAGAGCATGATCTCACAGTCATGAGATTGATCCCCATTGGGATTCTCCCTCTCTTTCTCTGTCTCTCCCCCACTCATTCTCTTTCTCTCTTGCTCTCTCTGTCTCTGTCTCTCCCTCTCTCTCTCAAAATAAATAAACACACAAAAAAAGAAAAATTGAGACCCAAAAGGGTAAAGTGGCTTCCGTAAAGTTCTGTAGCGTGGGTACCTAAGCTGGGATTTTTCGACTCAGTGATCCTGCCTCCCAGTTTGAAAACATTCTTTTTTTATTAAAAATGTATATATTTAAGGTGTACGACATGTTGATTTGCTATACATATACATATTGAAATGATTACTATGGTCCAGCTAATTGACATCATCTTCTCACATAGTTCACATTTATTTTGTAGTGAGAACACCTGATATCTGCACTCTTGGCAAATTTCTGGGATACACACAGTATTATTAGTTATAGCCATCATGCTGTACATTAGCTCTCCAGCAGCTTTATACCCTTTGACCAATATCTCCCCATTTTTCTGAACCCCAAGCCCTGGTAACTGCAATTCTACCTTCTGCTTCGATGCATTTGACATTTTTTAGATTGCACAAAAAGTGAGATCATGCCATTTTTTAAAATCTCCGTATCTGTATTATTTCACTTAGCATAGTGTCCTCCAGGTCCATCCAGTGTTTGTTGCAAATGGCAAGATCCCTTTTTTAAGGTTGAATAATATTCCGTTGTGTATATATACCATGATTTCTTTTTCCATTCCTTGATTGACCCTTAGGCTGTTTCCTTATCTTGGCTATTGTGAATAACGCTGCAATAAACATGAGAGCACAGATATCTCTTCCAAGTACTAATTTCATATCCTTCCTGCTGACCAGTTTTAATACCTACTCTGTGAAAAGAATACAAAGTTTGAGACAGGAAAATTGTATTTCTGAGTTGGGTTTCCTATTAGATAGCTGTGTGGCAGGGGCCAAATCTTTTGGGGGATCAGTAGCCTCAATTTCATAATTCTCCCACCACTCCATGAGAGATATTAAAATAATGAAATAAGAGCAAATGAAAAGCTATTAAGATAAATTTATTGTGTAAACCTAGCATTAAGCATGCTCATAGTTGGTTTCTTTTTCTTTGATTCTGTTTTGTCTTTCTCTCTTTTGCTATCTCCCCATCTCCTGTTGAGTAGATTAATAGACTCCATGCCAGGCCGCTATGCAGACTATTGCAAGAAAGACTCTCAAGGTCATGCTTCGACTGGAAAACCTCACCCTGCACTTGCCTCCCCGTTGATCCCTTGGTAGAAGGCCCAATTCAAAGATCAATCCACATTCTTCTGAGGCAAAATAATTCCAACCTTCTTTTTCTTCTTTTGGTATTCCAAAGATCTGTCAACTCCTGTAAGAGTCATGGTAGATATTATTTTGTAGGTCATCCCAGTTTTCTTCGCCACAAAATACAGAGATTTGGTATAATTAGAGCCCAGGGGGATGAATAGGCCGTGCTCCTGTCCTTTCTCCAGTGATTTTCATTCCTGTCTACTGGCTAAAGCTGTCTGATTGTGTGCACTTGTGGGCAGGGGCCAGGATTTAGGGTCAACGAGTATGAGATAAACATTTTCTAGGAGCTAAGGCTTCTTCTTCTTAAGGAACTTCTTTTATATCCTGTACGGGGTCATTAATAAGTAGTTCACACCCAAGGAGTGAGTTATTCAGAAATTGATGCTGGATCAGTTTATATAGCAAAGTGTAAAGTTGAGTTAGTTACATAAATCACTGAAGCCAAAGTAAGTGTGATCAGTTTTCTAGGTATTTTAGGCCAAAACATTCTAGAGGGACAACATAACCTTCATGTTCCATTGGTTTTGGTTTTTAAGTTGAATGGTCCCTTCCTTGTTCCAGGTTTGATGTGATTGATGGCCTCCTTGATAGTGGCAAGGATGGATGATTCTTGAATCAGTCAGACATCAGTTCAGATTTTGGTGCTGCCACTTGCAAGTTGTGTGACCTGGGGCAAGTCAGTTAATTTCTTAAGCCTTAGTTTCCCCATCAGCAAAATGAGTAAAAGCCAAGGAGACATAGAGGAGGACACTTATGGGGATGAGCACTGAGTATTATGTGGAAACTAATTTGACAATAAACTATTTGTAAAAAAAATAAATAAATAAAAGTGTTTTCACCCTCCCTGTGCTAAAAAAAAAAGCCAAGGAGAAAATACATAGAAAAGCACTCACCGTTGTGCCTGGTATGTTAATTAGGGCTCAGTGAATGTTAGCTACATTATTATTATTATTTTCCATTAGCCTTTATCATTTTCACCTACATCCTAAGAACAATTTCATTCTGTTGTTTTTAAACAGTTGTATTGAGGTATAATTAACCCATAAGATAACTCATTTTCATTATACAATTTTCTCTATCTTTAAAACTTTTATTTATTTTGAGAAAGAGAGACTAGGGAGAGAGAGAGAGAGAGAGAGAGAGAGAGAGAACATGAGCAGGGGAGGGGCAGAGAGAGAGAATCCCAAGCAGGCTCTGGACTGTCAGCACAGAGCCCGACTGTGAGATCATGACCTGAGCCAAAACTCAAGAATTGAATGCCCAACCGACTGAGCCACCGAGTCGCCCCTTCAGTATACTTTTGACTGATGGGAAAGAAAGGATGGTTTAACTGTCTAAGCCTCCCCCTAACAAAACACACACCTCCTCTGATTTCTCTTCTTCCACTACTCTACAGAGGGCACTTTCCCAGTTCTGTTTGTATCTATTGCTAATTTGTACATCACTGATTAGCTTAATCTGGTTTGTTTGGTGTGTGTGTACATAGGTTGATAGAAAAAAGATGGAATTTAGAGTCATCACTCACTAAGATTTGTTAGTGACTTCAGAAAAGTCCACTTCAGAGGTTTGTTACCTTCAAATGAAAAATGAAGTTCAAGATCTGCCTTACTTGATTGATAGAGTTGTTATGAGGCTCCTGTGTAATAATATGTGTGAAATCCCTTTATAAATTGTTAGCTAGGTGACTATAATTTAGGAATATGAGTTACAGTAATATTCAAGTCCCAGATTGTATGCTTCAGAAATCACATGTCTTGAAAGGTCCAGGTAATGGGCTGGAGCTGTTAGGGAATGGTCTGCAGAGAAAAAGAGTCTTTTCCTGAGACTTCAAAATCAGACAGGATTTTAGCAGGTGGAAAAGAGTGGGAGGAGGGGTGCAATCTTGGTGGCAGAATTAAAAATCAGCAGAGACTTCATGTGTCAACTATACTTCAATTAAAAAAAAAACAAGCAAGGACCCCAGAGGCCAGAACAAACATACAAGCACATACCAAGTGATATAAAACATGTGAGGGGGTAAAGTTACCAGGGTAGTTATAATATATGGTTTGTCTTCTGAAAGGACACCCTCCTTCTGGGCAAGTTAACACGTTATTCGCGTGGTCTGTTAACTCCATCAAGGCAGGAGCCTTGCCCTTCTCTGATTTCTCTCTAGTACCCATTACAGTGCCTGGCACATCATAGGTGCTCAATAAATGCTCAACAAATGAAAAAACAGAGGGGTGGTCATGTCAGTTGCTCTTCTTGTCTGGTCGTTTTAATATTATCTAAATTCATCGGCTACTGAATTAGAAGCTATCTTTTAAAATTTTTTAATGTTTATTTTTGAGAAACAGTGAGAGAGTGAGACACACACACACAGAGAGAGAGAGAGAGAGAGAGAGAGAGAGAGAGAGAGAGAGAAGGTGAGTGGGGGAGGGGCAGAGAGATAGGGAGACACAGAATCTGAAGCAGGCTCCAGGCTCTGAGCTATCAGCACAAAGCCCAACACGAGGCTCGAACTTACTAACTGTGAGATTGTGACCTGAGCCAAAGTTGGGCACGTAACCGACTGAGCTACCCAAGCACCCTCGGCATGTCTTTTAACTCCCTCTACACAGTACAGCCCCATCTTCTGTTCGTAGTTACGAAATTCTTTGCAATGATGTCAATACTTGATGTGGTTTTTCTCCACCCTGTCCCAGAAGACTCCTTACCCCCAGCAAACAATAAGGTGACCAGCAAGTCGTGTGAATACAACGGGACCACTTACCAACATGGTGAGCTGTTCGTGGCTGAAGGGCTCTTTCAGAACCGGCAACCCAATCAATGCACCCAGTGCAGCTGTTCGGTAAGACCCAGCATTTTAATGTCCCTGCTGGCCCCAACCCCAACACCCCAACAACCTTATACCTTCACATTGAGCCTACATCATAAGGTGTTTGAAGGGAAGATGGACTGCATTTAAATCCTAAGCCTCCCAGTCGATCCAGACTCTCTGATCTTCATCAACCCTGAACGACCCTGTCCTATGTTAAAGAAGTCACACCCAGTCATATCCTGGTCTTGAAGCTTTATGACTCTTCAAGTGGACAAAGATGAGCTGATGGTCTTCATCTGTTCTACTTTTCATAATAGTCAAACCAGCAAAGCCTTCATCAGATGTACTCAACTATTTTTTTTACATTTATTTGTTTTTGAGAGAGAGATAGAGACAGAGTGTGAGCAGGGGAGGGGCAGAGAGAGAAGGAGACACAGAATCCGAGGCAGGCTTTAGGCTCTCAGCTGTCAGCACAGAGCCCAGTGCGGGGCTTGAACTCACGAACTGTGAGATTATGACCTGAGCCGAAGTCGGATGCTTAACCAACTGAGCTACCCAGGTGCCCCAAGACTCAACTATTTGAAGCTTTGGGGATGCTACGGGTAGAAGAGCCAGTGGCACCATCTAGGGCTTGCTTGTCCAATTCACAAATAAACAGGGGTATCTCTTGGATCCCATCTCTTATATATTCTCCTAACCAGTTTGTCCCTGATACCCTACAATGAGAACTCTCTCAACAAAACATGATTATTCCTGTGACATTCCTTGTCAGAACTGTATATACCCTAGGAATAAAGTAAAACAGTTATATCTTCACGTAATCGTGCAATCCAGAGAATGTAATAGGTAGAACTAGAAAATGGAATAAAATGGCCGTTTAACGTGAAGTGAGAGGAAATGAAGTTAGATGAAGAAACTTTTTTACCTGTAAGGGGCTTAAACACTGAATCGCCAAGGGACATACTAGAATCTCTTCCCCTAGAGATTTGTAGTAAAAATATGGTATCTCAGTAGTTTGGGAGAATTTGGTTGTGGCCTTGCCTTCCGAATGACTTTTCAGGGAGCCTTTTTGCCCCAGAATTAATGCCTCTAAGAATTAAGAGCAAGGGTTAAGAAAGGATGTTTGGAACCTAGAACTTTAGGGAGGTGGAATTAGACAGAACAGCAAGGAAATTTGGTTCTCTCCCTTGCCTTGTACTGAACTGAGCTGTCCATTCTGATCAGCCCGTGTAGTTTTGCATTTCCTCCCAGACAACTTGTCTCCATGGTTTGGAAAGTTATAAAAAGAGGGGGCTGTCATGCAAATCTGCCTTCCCTTAAGTCCCAGTGTCCAGCAGGGCCATGGCAGCTCTTGTACTGACTACCCTATACCATCTCAGACCAGGATCCCCAGCGAGGATTGCCAACCCTTCCATGACTTAGTCTCTGGCCTGGAGAAATAGTAAACGGGAAAAAAAATAAAGCATAATCAAATCTCAGAAGTACCTAGAACTAACTATGGGAGGGACATTGGGAAGGAGTACCACGTTTTGAGACCCTACTCATCCCGGGTCCCAAGCTAAGGAGACTTTACACTTATTCCCAGATCCTTCTGATCTTAAATTCTGTTTTTCCTTGGCAGGAGGGAAATGTGTACTGTGGTCTCAAGACTTGCCCCAAGTTAACCTGTGCATTCCCAGTCTCTGTTCCGGATTCCTGCTGCCGGGTTTGCAGAGGTAGGTACCCTGTATTCCAAGAAGTAGGGGTGTCCTAGCCCCCAGTGTCCTAGGAAAGGGAAGTTTTCTATGGTAGCCTTAGTTTATAGTCAGGGGGTGGGGGCAGTTGATTCACAAAAAGGAGAAAAGAAAAAACACTGATTTAGAAAAAGTTTTTAATGTTTATTTATCTTTGAGTGAGAGAGAGAGAGAGAGAGAGAACAGGGGAAGGGCAGAGAGAGAGGGAGACACAGAATCCAAAACAGGCTCCAGGCTCCGAGCTGTCAGCACAGAGCCCGAAGTGGGGCTCAAACTCAAGAACTGTGGGATCATGTCCTGAGCCAAAGTCAGGTGCTTAACCAACTGAACCACCCAGGTGCCCCCCAGAAGCACTGATTTTAAGGGCAATCACCTGAAAGACACCACGCTGGAATGTGGCAAGAGAGAAGGAGTGGGCATCATCTATTGAGAAAATGTCTGTATCTCTTCTCCCTTAACCTCTTCTAGCTTTTACTGTGTTGTAAAACACAGGCCATTTCCATACACAGCCTTAAAAGGAAGAATGGGCCTTGCAAAGCATTGATGTGACCACTTTGAAGACTGTCCAGGGCAAATTTAGGTATATTTAAAACCCCACAGTCCAAAGGCAACAAACTCTGTAAAAACACAATCGAAGGCATCATCTTCTCAAATTATAGCCTCAATGGCATCGGTGTCTTCTGAAGCCAATTTTTTCTTATTTGGTTTCCATTTCTTTGATAATGGCACCATTTTTTTCCCTCTAGCTTCCTAAGATCAAGCATAATCATCTTTAATTTCTCCTTTATTGCCTCTTCTCAGATTACTAAATCTATCAGCAGTCTTCTATCTGTCTCCTTTCTGGCTCTCTCTAGCAGTATTCTAATTTTGTCTTCTTTCCTTCCATCAAATCAGCATATTTATTGAGCATCTACTTACTATATGCTCAGCCCTGTGCTAGAAGCTAGATACATATTGGTAAATACAGTAAACATACAGGGCAATGCTAGACTATATGGCATCTTTATGCAAATTTTAAAAAGAATCCTTTTACTTAAGATACCTTACTGTCATTTGTCAGAAAATCTTTGTGAATGTACCCCCTTCAACTGCAGCACATTTGTGCAGTACACACCCTCTACAACTATATGCAGCATACATAGCAGCAAAGGTATGTTGTTTGCTCTTGTGGAACTCACATTCTACCGAAGAAGACAAATCATAAGCAAACACGTAAATAAAAATCTAAATCTAAATATGTAAGTACCATGAAGAAAATAAACACAAGACTGAGGAGACAGCATTTACATTGAGTGGGTGGGAAGGCCTCTCTGAGGTGACATTTAAGCTCTCACTTGAAAGATGAAAAATAACCATCCATGCAAAGATCCTGGGGGAAGAGCACTGCAGGCAAAAAGAAAAGAAAATTCAAGGGCCTCAGGCAAGAAAGAGCTCAGAGCATTCAAGGAATCTGAGGATCAGCATAGCACAGTGATTGTAGTCAACTGGCCTGAGATGACGCTGAAGAACGGAAGGAACAGGAGTCAGATCACACAGGACTTTCAAGGCCATGGGAAGGAGTTTGTAGTTTAGTTTTTAAGTACATTGGGAGCCATTGGAAGGTTGTGAGCAGGGCATGACATGAACTAATTGATGTCTTTAAAGATCTCATTGGCTGTTGTGTCCAGACTAGATTGGAGGGAGGCAACGAAGCAAGGGGAGAGACGACAAAGAAGGCAAGTGGAATAGTCTCTCTAGTGTGAGAGGGCAGGTGCCTGGTGTAGGGACACAATATAGAGTAGTGGTTCAGACTGCAGCCTTTGGAACCAGGCTTCCTTGGTTCTAATCCCAGTCCTGCTACTAATTTCTCCCTGGATAATCCTGAGCAATGCATTCAGCCTTTCTAATAATCTTTAAAGGGAGGAGAATGGAGTACTGACTTCCAAATGGTTGTAAGGTTTAAATGAGATAATGCAGGAAAGGGACCTAGCACAGTGTCTTGCATATGGTGCAGACACAATAATGAGAAATGGACAAATTTGAAATGTATTTAACAGCATTGCTTCTTGACCATGGGCGCATATTGGAATTACCTTGATAAATTTGCATCCAGACTGGGGGTGGAAGGGAAGGTGATTCCAATGTGCAGCCAAGGTTGAGAATCACTGAGTTAGAGGGTGAAAATTATAGGATTTGCTGATAGGGGATGGGTAGTTGACTCCTATACATTACTGCTAGTTTAATCTTCCAAAAACATAACCTTAACCATACTACACCTCTACTCAAAAGCCTTTGTGCTGGGGAACCTGGCTGGCTCAGTCGGTAGAGCATGTGACTCTTGTTCTAGGGGTCATGAGTTCAAGCCCCACGTTAGGTGTAGAGCTTAGTTTAAAAAAAAAAAAAAAAAGTAACCGGCCCTTCTCCAGTAGCATTTATCACTTTGTTACCTATTGTTTTTCATTATGTGTGCCCATGTCTTATCCGCCCTACCAATTATAAGCTCCTTAAAGTAGGAACTATTATTTCTGGTTCATCTTTTCTCCCCCTCACTGCTCTAGGGAGAGAAACACACACTAGCTTTGCAGTATTGCCAGAAACTTATAGTTTGAATTAGATGCAACGAATGTATGATATTATTGTTGTGTTTCCTTCCTCTGAGTTACTGATGGACTGTGATAGGTAGTGCTGGCTATATATTGGCTCGTGATCAGTAGGAAATCACCTGGTGTCGTGTCTGATCCCCAGGTGCTTTTTCCTCCCCATCTCACTTCGAGACACTATAATATTTATTTTTAGAAAGAAATGACTTTGTTCTGAGTACCAGTTATGTTCATCCCCTCTTTTTTTGAGGGAAGCACACAGAGAGAGGGAGAAATATGCAGAGCATGATATGGAGTCCAGTGTGGGGCCTGATGTGGGACTTGATCCCACGACCTGACCTGAGCCAAAATCAAGAATTGGAGGCTGAGCCACCCAGGAGCCACCCAGGAGACCCTATATGCGCATCCCTTTTAATATGCTCTTTTTAGTGGTTCTCACAAGTTAGTATGGACTTAGTCATGGCCTGATTTGGTTTCTGCTTCAATAAGGCTCTGGATCTTTCTCTAGCAATCTCTCCCAGTATGTGTGTCTGTATGTCAGTACAGCTATTACATTTAAGCCAGAAAAGGTGGGTATTTTGTTCCTCATCTCCCTGCCCATCTTTGCCCCAACCTGATTCTGCTCCAAAGGGGAAGAGAGTCCATACAGAGCAGAGTTATACATGTGGCTGCTAATATAACCATCTTGTTGCTCTGGTCCAGTCATCAGGCTGAGGTTATTTTGTTTGGGGCAAAGGGTACAATGACAAATCTAAACTGAAGGACAATCACAAAAGAAAGGAAACTGCCACAAGACATGATATTTTGCATCTGAGAGACAATGTGATGCAGATGATGTAGGCTGTGAAGCCAGAAGGAAACAGATTTGCTTTTACTCAGCTTCCACCTACTAGTGGTGTTTCCTCGGGCAAGCTGCTGGCCCACATACAGCCTCATTTTTTTTTTTTTCCAGCTCTGGGAATGGAGATACATAATATCTATCACCAATGGAAAGGCTGTAAAAATGAACCGAGATGACCTAGAGATCTGGTGGGGGGGAGACTTTTCTACAGAGTTACTGCTTAGTATGAGATAATTATTACATTGCATTTAATACTACTGTATTCATTGACTGGGGGTTCAGGTACAATTGCACCCTCTCCTCTGTGTCTGATAGTCTTGTCTCTTTATTTGCTTAATCTCTGTTCACAGAGTCCCCATCTGCTGAACACTTCTCTCATCACAATTTACACTTTTCTCATGTCCTCAGAAGCAACACATAAAAGCGAGGTATTACTCATCACATATTGTCATTTCACACACCTGACAGTTCATGAAGTTCTTTCTCTGCCATCTCTTCTGCAGCCTAAATAAGCCATCCTCTTTCATCTTGCCCTATGAAGACTGAATCCTGCACTTTCATAAAATTGATGCCTTTTTCTCTGCGTTTAATTTCTTTACATCTTTCAGTTGTATATAATGTGATTGAATCTCCTTTGAAGTCCTCATTTTTGAAGCACCTCATTATTTTTTTTCTGTCGAAACACTGTGTTTTATAAAGGTATGTCTTGTATAAGCACATTACTCATGTGGCAGGGAATGCAGACACACTTCTCCCCTATGCTGACCACCCTAACTGCAGGCAAAATACTGCAAAAGAAATAACATTTTGTGTTTAAAAATTTTTTTAATGTTTTATTTATTTCTGAGAGGCAGGCAGAGAGAGAGAGAGAGAGACAACATAAGCAGGGGAGGATCAGAGAGAGGGAGAAACAGAATCTGAAGCAGGCCCCAGGCTCTGAGCTAGCTGTCAGCACAGAGCCCAATGCAGGGCTTGAACCCATGAACCGTGAGATCATGACCTGAGCCAAAGTCGGATGCTTAACCGACTGAGCCACCTAGGTGCCCCTAGAAATACCTTTTGAGTGCTGAACCTGGAAACTTTAATATAAAGGGCCCCCTTGAAACCGGCTCTCTGCACTGTCACCAAACACTAGCGTGTGCCTCTCTTCCTATGTCTGATAGTGACATCTGCGACAGATTGAATCTCAACCCCAGCCTCAGTTATTTAGACATGCCCCTGAGCCTACGACAGTGAGGAGAGCGTTGGCATGGGGCATGTCATTGCTGGCACTTGAGCAAACCTCATCTGGACTGGAAGTGGAGCACACCCAGCCACTGGAACCTTAAGAGAAACTTTATCAGAAGAAAAAAATCTCTTTGCAGATCGTACAACTGCCACATTCTGGGCAGGCAGGCCTCAAATCCAAACCCATCCCCAGTTTCTCTCTACCATTTATCATTACTGCTTCCTGTCTCCTGCCTACCTTGCCAAGGCAAAGGGGAAGGCTATGTACTTGGACTCTAGACAAGGGAGAGGTTTTTGGGGTAGGCTCTTGGCCACATCGAGAGCCAAGCCTGCAT